CATCAACGGGATTTGAAACCAGGCATAGGCGTCTTTACAGTAGAATCCTTACTATCTGAGTTCAGAGGCCAAATGGGTAGTCCGAAAAGCTAATGCAAATATAATTCAGTTTAGGTAACTACTACTGGAAAGATGTCATTCATACTGGAATAACAGTCGGAAATAGGACCAATTCTGACCATTGACCACATTCTTGTTGTATTGGTTGAATAATACGGAAAAGATCTTCAAGGGTAAACATAAACGGGATTAACTAATCTTGTCTTGAGTAAACTTTAGTCAGATATTGTTCCACTTCTCGAACTTCAGCTTTCACGTGATGTTGCAAGACCGGAAACGCACCCAGTCGGCTACGAATAGTATGTATCCATGGCGCTACCAGCTAACTACTGAGTTTCTGTTAACTCCATCCAACATTTTGACCTGTGAGCCTCATATCTAACTGAAAGTGCAATCAATAGAGTAGTTAACTCAGCACAAACTTCAAGAAGGATACTGAGGTTTGGTGGTCAGATCGCGAGATTGACATGCAATGCGTTCAACAATTAACAGCAGCAGTGTGCTCGGTGATCTTGGTCAGTTAGGCCTCCTAAGCACCCAAATTCCTGTTCGAAGAAGTCTGCAAAACTGAAGAAGTTTAGAAACCTCTTCATTAAAAAAATGTCGTATGTCGCTAATGATTTTCACTTGATAAGAAAATGTAGGTGATTTCATTAACCAAGCATGCATGCAGGCATGCAGAAATAGCCACATCCTGGTAAACTGCTCGACAGGCGGGTTAACGTAGATTGAGGTTAACTGGGGCATAACATTATTTAAGAGACAGTTTACAGCACAAGGAGACAGTTAGTCACAACTTTGTGAGTAAAAGAGTTATAACGGTCATAAAGAAAATCTATTCAACAAAACAGGAATGCAAAGGTCCCGGGACTGAATCCATACCAGTCTAATGTTGAATGAGCTCCTAGGGAGCTACAGGCAACAATGCACTAACTCCCGTGTAATTCTATGTCTATCAGGATCCCGGCTTATCCTGTTTTAGGAGCTATTTGTAGTGAAACAGAGTAAGTTGATTTACAAATAAGGCATTAGGTTCGACGATTGTGCCAAACATTGGCTACTCTGACTTATTTGCTAAATGTCCAAAGGGGACAAAAAAGGCAATGAAGGTAAGCGACCAACCGAGGAATGACGAACATCATAACTACTGCTCGTCCACCATCCAGAGTGAAAGAGATTGGTATCACAACATCAGTGGTTTTGCGACATGTGTTATTCTATTGTTTCCGCCCAGACTTTCGTTACTTCCTTTCAGAATTCCATGTCGCTTATCGATGGGATTCCTATTCCCAATCAAGTCATTACGGAATTTGCTCCCTATCCAACAAGTGTAAAGTGATGGCTCAAAGTTTGGCAGGAAATAGTTTCTACGCTTTTCCTCGGTATTGAACGGTTTAAAGTTGATGATAAGTTTATCTACCTCAGCAGTTGTGACTCAGCTAGTGATTATGTTAAAGACGGAATCACGCTCTCGATGGTGTAAGCTCTGTTGGCTTTTGCCAACTTGAAGCATTTGTCGTACCCTTTCGACATCGCACTGGCTCCCAAAGAGCACGTACACAGAGACAGTCGGTAGGTGTTATGGCTGCAAATCCCGGTTAGTCCTCCCTGACAACACTCATCAACCGGCTGCATTCGATTATCGTTATTTTCGGAACATAGTTGAGTCATGGTGTTAATTATGACACCACACACCCGAGTTGAGATAGTTCGACAGAAGCTATTCGATAGATCAAACAGTGAACCAGTCACTGGTATCACACTGTTGCACACCGCTTATCCAGATGCATCCTGTTTGCGATTCGAATACCTGGATGGAAGAAGGTACCCGACAGACAATCTATGACATGGCGATGTAAAATGAAAAGTTGCCCGTTGACTTGTCTCGTGGTGATAACTCCCGACTTCTGGATCGGGGCCCAAAATACGTGGAGACACGACGGAACGATTTTTGTGCGTGTTGCTTCCATTTAGTTTTGGTTGTACATTTATTATAAACAAACGGAAAAAATTGCAACCTGAGGAAACAACAAAATACAGAACTTTCATTTTCTTACACATGTATTCGATATTCTCTCCCGTTTTACTAAACAATGGTCTGGCGCCTTGACCTCCTTGACTGTGATATATATTTATATACGTCGGTGTAGGATATCAGAAAGTCCCATGTACCCATTTAGAAGACCCTCTGTATTATCTAATTGCGCATTATCAATTGCAAACTGGCATAAGAGTATAAAGATCCTGACAGGAAAACTTGCTCACAGATGTCGCATTCGGCTCCCAGGAAGAGGATATTGGGATTAGCGTAACCAACCATTAGAGAGACTGAGTGATATGTTTCAGTTAAAGTTATTACAACCAGTGACGATGCAGTTTCGCGCGCCGGTTTTGGTTACCTATTCGGGTAAAAGAGCAAAGTGAAGATTGGAATGTTTAGAGAAAAAGAAAAGAAGAAAAAAAGAATTAAAATAGATCGGGGTTGCAAGAATAACAACTAGAGGCACTTGAACCGCTGTTTGCGACAAGCAGCCGTAGCACTTAATGTATCTAACCACCGGTTACCATGATACGGGGGCCCCTATCCAGATTTATAACAAAGAAAACAAGAAAAGGAGAGGAGAAAACCCTGACGAACACCGCTTTCTGTAGTGAACCCGGGAAAAAAAGTGCCGTAAGTTCTGACTCGGCTTCAGCTATTAGCATAAACAGACGGCATAATTGAAATAAACTTCTCGGGCACATACTTCAGGGAAAGGTAGTATCAGAGTTTAGAGCGGTCGACTGAGTCAAAGGCCTATTTCGGATAAAGGAAGATAAAAATGATGGGTCGACAGAAACACTGTCGATGGTCTCAAATCTGGCAAAGGGTGAAAATATGGTCGACACAACCAGTTATGAAATCAGCCTGGTTCTCACGCGTGCACCGTTCACGTGCGGCAGAATATGATGATAATGAAAGCCTAGAGACAATGTTGGTTAAACTAATTCCCTAGTGGTTTTCACAAGAGGATCTGTTGTCTTTCTTGTAAATCGGTATGATCACCGATTCACACCATTCCGTTGGAACTTTTTCCCTTGTTCACACTGTTCTCGAGAGTTTTTTTAATTCAAAACGAAGGCTGACACTCCATCCTTAAAAACCAATGGGAACAGCCCAGCCGGGCAGCAAGTTATATCTCTTGTGAGACACCTGATTTCCCGGGGAACCTCCACTTCAGATGGAGAACTACTATCTTCTGGCAGTATTGGCCCAGCTGAAGCAGGTATTTGGAGGTTTTGTGTCGATGGGGGCCAAACTAACTGTGCACCAAAATTTTCTGCCCAGCGTTCAAGATGGAGTTACAGATGATGAATCAGTGTACCATCACGCCTACTTCCTTTGGACTCGTACTCCTAATTAAATGAAAAGATTGTCACTATTACCGATAGCCACAGCCTTCTCCATCTCTCTACTTCTCCCTATCCACCAATTCCCGGTCATTCCTCGGGCTTTTGATGAGCGGAAGTTTAAGGGGTTTGCGCGCTTTATCATATTGGCATCAGAGGTAATGGCCTTGCGAGCGTTCAGTTGACAGTCGCTGTCGAGGAGATCTATCGTTTTTGCTTTCATTGTGTGTCAGAATCTGTCGTTATTTTGATTGACATTTGCATAGCTTCCTTGACTGCCGACCAGTGTTTACTGAGTCCTTCGGCGGATAGTTGAGCTGAAAGGCGGTCAGAGAGTTCCGCTTCGAAGACCGATTTGTAATTACCGCTGACGTTATATTGTGGGCATCCGTTTCTGGTGGCTTTGTTTTGATTGTTTACCAGATGTAGTTAGAATTTAGTTCGTATTCTTTGTTAACGGGTGCTGGCCAGTAAGAACGGCAGTCTTAAATGAATCCTCACCAGCGGTAGTTGATGACGATGTAGTCGATTTGAGTCCATGGATGTGAAGGGGTGGGTGGTTTTCATGTAAGGCGGTGTCTTTTCTCGTGCCAGAAGTTTGTGCTCGACAGGGACAGTTTGTGGTCAGTGCCAAGTTAACGCCGGTGTTCTCCGTTGTCCATCCGGTTGTCTGGGATTGCATGTGAACCATCAAGCCTTTCTGATTAGTCCAAATATCCTACTTGAGCATTGAATTCTCCAGAGACTACCACGATGTTCGCTGACCGAGCACTTTGGAGTGGTTGAGAGGTCCTCATAGAATTCATCCTTCATTTCTGGCGAACTGCAACCGATCGGTGCATACATTAATACGACGAATAAGCACAGACACTTATTTTTGTAGCTGCTGACTGGTACTTAACCATCCAGACGTACAGCACACAGTCAGCTACTAACCGGAATCCAGTTAAGAAGTGAACGGTCGGCCTTGAGTGATATACCTGAGTGTCGTGAACAGTGATGCTCTTGCATCTACTCAATGTCCTTGCAACCTTGGTCTATATGAATTCTTCATCTTCAATTTGACTCCGCTGCTCTCACCGTTCCAATCTTCCCTTTACTCCTTCATTCCAATGGGTGGCCATGAGAGGGCAACAAAACCCGCCGCACGGTTAATGGTTGCCCAAAATGAAATTGAAACTATAAACCGTTCTGTTTTGTATGTATACCGTAGTTGTCGTCCAGTGACTATCTACTGTATTTCACATACAGCAAACAATATGACCTTTTCCATTAAGAGAAAAACAATTACAGAAGCATAAAAATAGCATGACAGCATGAAAGCAAGTGCTGGTGCGAAGCTGATTATCTTCATTTAAATCGCAGAGCCGTGAACTGAATTCCGGATCGATGAAAATCGAAAACGAAAGCTGTAACAGATGAGACAGCCTCTGACAGAAGAGAACGAGAAAATCTTGAACAAATATATAGATAAGTTATGATAAGCATGATCAATTTTGCATCCACTCACCAATAATTACAGTAGAACTCTGTTGGTTTGTTTTCTGAAATCAACAACATAGTTTTCTCATATCCGATGGCCCCGAACTCAGCTGAGAAGCACCGATACCGGATGGAATGGATTCACCGTTTTTCAAACCGGGGTTACGCGCCAAAATGCCCCGAGCAGCGGAAATGAAAGCCTCGTGAACATTTTTGCCAGTCTTTGCGGAAGTTTCCAGAAATGCATACACTCCATTATCTTCGGCACATTGCTGAGCTTCCATTTCAGAGACCTGACGGGTGAAAGGTGAACCGGAGTGAGAGAAAAATAAAACACGATTACAAGAGTACCACTCCTGAATAGCTGATCAGTGAAACGATGATATCTGTGGGGATATCAGTTCACGCTCAAATCTATTCAGTTTTTATGTTTTCTACAGGTATTCGTCCAAATTTATTGACTGCCCCCAATGAAGTATTTCGTGTATTTCTGCCAAACTTTGTTGAAATCTATCAAGCGTGTCACTTTCTACAAACTCCTACTTCTGGGAAAGAACGGAGAAATGTCCGCCCGAGCAACTTTGGTAGATTTTTGTTATTCGATAGTACGAATGCAAATTTCGCTTAACCACACTTGTGTGGTAACTGGATCCGTTACCCGTACAAAGACTCAGTATGGCTGGTGGGGTCTCGGGTTGTGACTATTCATCCTTCCTTTGCACCTCCTGAAATGCTCCTATATGACCAAACGTCTCAAATAACTTTTGCTGAGGAAGCCGTACTTAATGTCTTCCACATCAAAGTGAGGGGACCAAAAGCCAACATATGGGGCTATGATCGAATCGGTGAACTACTGGTAGTTCACCTAGGGGAGTTGGCCAAATACCCTGAATCGAAACCAACAAAGAAGAGACGTTCGAACCCCAAAAATCTACACCTTCCTGGTTGTATCAGTGGTCACCAGCTCATTTGGGCATTGAGGGCGTATGATCCAACGAATTGAACATCGCCTCCCTCCTCCTCATTGGACTGTGGACTCGAATCTCTGTCCTGCTGCCTTGCGAGTCTGGATTTCTAGTCAAAGGCTTGCGGTGGGGATCCCGAGGTTATCCATTTTCCTTGGTCAGGGCAACCGGGAAGTAACATGCTCACTTAACCTATGAACACGTTCTATGTTCTGGCACACTTACGAATTCTATATAATTTTTTGTGTTTAGAATATATATATATATATATCTTTGAGCTCTTGATTATCGTGACAACAAATCAGAAGCTTGGATTTTGAATACGATGGGTAAATGTAGAACCAGAAGTAGCCAGACGGCTATTGAGCCTTGTTAGGGATTGCGGCGATCGCTAAAAAGCTATGTACTGTGATTAATGAAAGGTTGCAACTCATGCACTGATAATTGCATTATACGTTTACTCAGTCGATAAGCGGGAACACATACAGAAGGAAATCATACTGAAACTGCCTGTCTTAAAAAGGAAACGGGAGAGATGCACCATTTCAGGATGGCATAATATAGATTGTGTTATGTCCTATTCGTGCATTACTCCACACTGTGAGAAACGCGCTGCCTCCCCCCTTGGTTGGGCCCAAAATGCGTGTAAATTCATGCACACAGTGAGTTCACATTCTCAAACTCAATTCCTTATTCTGATTTGTGTTGAAAATAATTTTTGTAATTATTGCTGTCGGAAATCCACGTGATGCGCGGGAAAAATGCAGACGATGTGTGTGTAAAGATTGGAGTTAACTCCAATTATCTCCCTCGCTCAGTTCCGTTTTCTGTATCTCACAAGGAGAGGAACCGAAAACATCCCAATTATTTCGTTTTTCCCAATAGTGTTATGGATCCCAAGTGATTTTTTATAATTGTCCTATTTCTTAAGAGTGAATTTAGTACCGCCATGCTATCAGAGCGATCTTTCGGACCAAATTTCATTCCGGAATTGTGAATAATGGTGTCCATACGGACAACTTATTGATTTGCTTCTGAAATCTTTTGTCGTCCTACTAGAGATTTGGTTGCCCCGGAAACATTTTAGAGATAAGCCAAGACTGATACGTTTAGCCTTCAGTTGCAAACCCTCCTTTGAACTAAACATTACAAATCAAAGTATACAATGGCATCGAGCGAGGACATAACGTAGAGAAAAGAAAAAGATCATTCAGAACCCGTCATATATATATGATAATAAGTAGTATGTGAATGACNCACACGACCGGTTTCGCGGTTCTTGCCGCTCATCAGACATGTGTATCCGGTAATCTTTTGTCAGTTCATTCATATACTTGTACCCAGGAAGTGTATTTTCGTCACAGTAACCTTGTTTGCAACACCGGGTGATCATTAAATAGACAGCTCTTTCAGAAGAATCATGAAGAATCAATGCTATGATTCAATTTTGTAAGTGGGTTAGATGCTACTAACTGCAACAAACGTGATCTGATGGCATATATATATATATATATATATATATATATATATATATATATATATAAACCACC